AGAGTAATTAGGGACCACTATGGTGGGACAGAAGGCAGGGGAGATAACCTTCTGGGTACAACACACTTTTACCCTTTGTAAGAAATATTTTGACACACCCATCATGAGACCCTGGCAAAACCACCAATGCAGAATATTGGTATGAAAAGAGAAATGTTTATCAAGAAGAAGAAGAAAAAAAAAGGGCTGGGGATATATCTTGGTGGCCTAAGCACCTGCCTGGCAAGTGCAAAGCCCCAAGTTCCACTCTGGGTACAGCTTGCCTTGCCAGCCACGGGAAACCTCGGCATGCTGTGTTGCTCCCGAAACCAGGTGTGGTGGCCTATAATGCAGAATCTGGGGAGGCTGAGGCAGGAGGATCACTACGAGTTTGAACTGCGTAGGGAAACCCTGTGGGAAAAAAGGAAGGAAGGAGGAAAGGAAAGAAAGAAAGAGAAAGAAAGAAGAAAAAATACCCTTTAGCTTCCTTTGCTCTTCATCATTTTTAAATCACTAATTTTGGATGTCACCCAGCTGGGCAGCACATCGCTGGTTTCTCACTGGCTTTTCTGTAGACAGCACTGTGATGAGTGGTTGATGAACAGTTTCCTGGGTTACTTCCCAGGGACCTAGAGACCACTTTTGCTGAGTACACTGACTTCACTTGAGCCTGCAGATGTCTGAGAGGTGATTGAAGTGGGATGAAAGGCTTATGGATGTCTGTCTTCATCTTGTGTCAGCCCCCTTTGTGGTCTTAACCCTCGAGTCAGAGTCTACTCAGCTCTGCAGGTGGACGCATTGATTATTTACACCATGCTTTGTCAGTACTAAGATACAGGGTTAACTTAGCCTTGTGCCTGCTGGAGCTGGGGTGTGATTCTTCTACAACACCACCTTTATGCTTTTTCAGCAGCTCAAACAATAAAAAGTCCCTCACTGTTCTAAGTCCAGGGGCTTTGCACAAGGTGGTGACGCTAGCTGTCAGAGTAACTCAGCAGCTCTTGGCCAACGTTGGCAGACTGTTAATGACCCACCCAGGGCAAGGCTGGGTGTTTTGCGCAGGATGATGATGCCAGATACATAACTGGTTCAAGTCCATCAGAAAAAGAAATGTCTTCTGGAACCATGTTCCTGCCCAGTGGAAACTGATGGGATTTTAGCCCTCCTCAGCAAATCAATAAAAACTTGTTTTTCTCAGCAGCATGTTGGTCACTCTGCATCAACTGCTTGCACCTTTCAGGCAAGGCCCCCGTTTGGCTGAAGACCCCACTCCCCAGTAAAGCTCCGCTTGTGCAGGTGCGGGGGGCTTCCAGCAGCGGGCTCACTCTCACTGCTGCTGCTGTGAGTGAAAAGATCCTTTCATCTTTACAAGTTCAGTTCTAATTAGGGAACAGTGTGTTGATGTTTCCAGAAGCACTAGAGTGACCGGTGAAGCTTGAGGGACAGAAGCTCTAGAGTGTCACAGCACTGGAGCCCTGAGTGTCATGGGGGTTCTGACCAGCAGAGTGGTGCGGTGGCCTCCATACCTTGACAGGTGAAAGTCATTCTTAGTCTTAATGTCTTCTAAAAATCTCCAGGTTAAGGCTTAAAAAAAATATTTCATTTCTTTGGTACAGGATCTTGCTACGCAGCTTGTACTCATAGTGATCCTCCTTCAGCTTCCCAGTGCTGGGGTCACAGGTGTGTGTCACCACATCTGGTTCTGGTGGCTGGCACAGTATGTGGTACTACAGATTGAACTTGGGTCCTTACACTTGCCAGTCAGGTGCTTTTAGACCACTGAACTATCTTCCCAGCTACCCACCCCAGGTTAAGGCTTTTATGCTAGAAGTTAAAATTGCTTACCCATCATTACTTTTTCCTTCTTGCTTATTCATTGAGATCCATGTGCAGAAACTGGTGAGTAGAGAAACAGTCCAGTTAGAAATTCACTTGTAGAATTTGCACAGTTATGTTTTAAGCTTTCAGTAATTGGGAGAGACCTTTGTCTTCAGCTGCTTGCCTATCTGTCTGTTTTCTGAGACAAGCTCATGCCATGATGCTCACCCAGGTTTTGAACTCCTGTGCTGAAGCAATCCTCCTGCTTCAGCACCCTAAGGAACTGGGACTACTGGTAGTGCCACCACGTGCAGCCCTAAAATGTTCTAATGAACACAGTTTTCTTTAGTGAATTTTTACTGATCTCTCTCTCTCTCTCTCTCTCTCTCTCTCTCTCTCTCTCTCAAAATTTAACGTATCTGGTTGTTATAAGGTCTCACTATGCAGCTTGGACTCATAGTGATCCTTCTGCTTTCAGCCTCCCCAGAGCTGGGATTACAGGTTTATGCCACTATGCCCAGACTCTGTGGCTGGCTCATCCTGTCCTCAGGGCGAGGCTGGCATAGTATGTGGTGCAGGGGATCAAACAGTGGTCCCTGCACTTGCTTAAGCTTGCCTATGTTGGCACTTTAGTCTGCTGAGCTATCTCGCTGGCCTTAACTTTTTATACTGTATAAAAAGTAGCATCATTGGAGACATTTTGAAAGTAGAAACAAAATCTCTCATAACCAAATCCCAAATGTAACCATTTAAATTTACTATGCACTTTTGGTTATGTCAAAATGCATGTTTATTTTTTACCCAGTTTCAAAGAGGTATAGGCATTATATGTTAAGCACTACACTACAAAAAGTTTGTACTACAAAGATATTGAAACAAAGCCAGGTGTGGTGGTGCATGTAATACCAGCACTGGTGAGGCTGAGGCAAGATTGTTGTGAGTTCAAAACTAGCCTGGGCTACAAAGTGAGCTCAAGGCCAGCTTGAACTGCATAGCAAGACTCTGTCTCAAAAAGACCAAAAAAAAAAGTATAAAAAGGTAAAGAATAGTAGTTAACCCTTCTCTTTTCTCATGCTTTCTGCCCACAATCATTATTTTTGTATTCTTCTGGAGACATCGAAAGGCTCACCATGCACACGAATGCTGGTGTACATGTGTATCTCAAGGAGCAATATTACATCTTTTTTCTAAGTTTATGATCAATCAAAAAGAACGCCTCTGGTATACAGGACGTGCGAGTGCTTCTCACGTGTTATCAGCCTTGCACACGTTTCTCAGTGTTGCACATATTTGCACTTTGCTATTTTCAGCCAGTAATATGACTTAAGATTGATGAATACCAGCACATGTAGAGCTATGAATTCTCTCCCAGAGCACTGCATTGTAACCACGCACTACAGGTGAAGGTCTACACTGTTCCCTATCTTCCTATAAACAGCGCACTGACAAGTATTTTTACGTGGTCCGAATTTACCTGGAGCATGAATGTCTAGACAAGGATTTCTAGGAAAACAGTATAGATGTGTAAGATTATGATCAGTATTATTAAAGTTTCTTCCAAAGTCTCCTGTGGCTATTTCCCCCAACAATGTATGCGAGGGCCTATTTCTCAAAAAAAGTTAGCTCACATGTTTGTCAGCCCGAAAGACGAAAAGAAGCGCCTCACTGATTTAAGTTACATTTAATCTAAGACTAAATTTGAGGTTTTCAACGTTTTGATTTTTTTTCCTTATATTTGGAGCATGTGCCATCCATGAACCTAAATGGCCTTTACATAGAAGATGGTAAAATTCTACGGAGAGAATAAACGCCGAATAAACGCTGGCTGAGAGTATTTGGCTAATGACGCAGATAGTGGCACCGCCTAAGTTTTTGCAGTATCCGGCGGCCTCTGCCGTTTCCATCGGCTAGCATTTGACACTATGAGTTACACCAATGTGGGTCTGCTCCAGTCTTGCTTGAGGAGATGGAAATCTAGGCTGGGCTGGAGATCTAAAGAGAACTGGGAGAGAACAGAGAAAAAGCAAAACTAAAAACCAAAACTAACAATAGAGGGGCTGGGGAGATGGCTCAGTAGAATAAGTGCTTGCCTGGCAAGCGCAAGGGCCTGAGTTCAATCCCCGGTTCCACCAATTCCCCCCGCCCCCCATAAACAAACAACCAAACCAACCAAACAAAAAACAATAGAAAGATGTGTAGGGGAGAGGCCTAACAGAAAGCAACCTTTAGGACCACCGTTTCTGGTCATTTGTGTTTTATTAACTGGTGCGGACTCCTGAGTTCCCTATCCTAAGAGTGCTTTGGTGTGGTTAGGGACCGTCACCCAACCGTGTTGAAGAATTCCCTGGGGGCAGAAGGTGAGAATAGGCCGTGACTTTGCTCTGTTCGCAAATCTTTTTCTCCGCAGCACAGCCCTGCTCATTATTTGTTCTGAGGAACTAGACGAGCAGGACCGGGCTGTGTCTGTGTGGGTCGGCACATAAAGTCCTCGCACCAGCTCCTTCAGTGGTGGACATAGATACCGTGAATCACACAGAAGGCATTCTAAAGATAGAGTAAAACAGGCTTCTCTCTGCCCGGGGGAGGGGGGGTCCCCGACTGTCCCCTTCCCCTTGCAACACGTAAGAAAGACCCGTAAACCGCCTCCCCTCTATCTCAGTGGACTCGATTCTAGTCTCTTACTGAGCTTTAAAAAGAAGTGAGGCGGCCCCAAAGCGCGCGGCGTGAACACGGTTTCGTGCCCCGAGGCCCTGCGCACCGACCCTCCCTCCAATCCCGGGAAGTAGCCGCTCTCCGTTTTTTTCTTTTTTTTTTCTAACTCCCAGTCTTTGTGTTGGCCTCCTCGGCGCTGCCCCTTGGCCAGCTAAGATCCTCGATCGAGAACAGCGCGCGGGCCGCAGCCCCGCCGCCCCGGCGAGCGCGGTCCTGGGCGGGGCGCTCCGACTCCGCGCCCTGCCGGCGGCCGAGGCAGGCGGG